ATACTTCATTCATACTAAATTAAAGAGATGCAGTAGTCTGAATTAAGTGAATGAATGAATGAATGAATGAATAAATGAAAAAGGATTTAAGTTTAGTATGTACCAAGAGCCCTTAGCTCTAGTTTATAATATAAAGCAACGACAGTACATGCAGCTAGGTGGCACAGTAGATAGCGCTCTGGACCTGGAGTAGGGAAGACCTGGGTTCAAATTCGGCCTCAGATACTTTCTAGTTGTGTGATCCTGGGCAAGTCACTTAACCTCTGTTTGCCTCATCTGTAAGTAAAATGAGGATAATAATATCACCCACCTACCTCCCAGGGTTGTTGTGAGGATCAAATTAAATAATAATGATAAAGTACTTAGCACAGTGCCTGGCATATAGTAAATGCTATACAAATGTTTATTATCATCATCCTCATCACTATTATTATTCTCAAGGAACTTAAATGCTAATCAAAATGTTATATTGAAATACAGTTATAAAGCTATTAAAAAAAACAAATTCATTGGGGCAGCTAGGTGGTGCAGTAGATACAGCACCAGTCGTGAGTTCAAATCTGACCTCAGACACTTGACACTTACTAGCTGTGTGACCCTGGACTTAACCCCATTGCCTAACCCAAAAAAAAAAAAGATAAGAAAAGAAAAAAAGAAAGAAAGAAAAGAAAAGAAAAAAATAGTTCATTGGTCCCAGGTTAAGAACCTTTTTGATTACATAATATGTCTTTAAAATTATTTATTGATATTTAATATTTTGATTATGTAATATGTATTTTTAAGCATTTAAATACATTATGAGACGTATATAATTTCAGAGTGTGAAAGGGGACCGTGACAAAAACATGTTAAGAACCTCTGCTATGATAGGTAGGGAAGATACTCATATTGTTGAAGTCACATATTGTTGAAGTCCCATATTCTAGGAGGCTCAGAATTAAAATAAAGTAGGAATATAGAAATAAAAAGAGCTGGTAAGAGACTTAACTATAAAGACTAGTTTAGATTACATTTAAAAAAATGTAAAACAACAGTATACTTTTGCCGTTTACCCTAGGATATTATTTCATTCAATTAACATTTTACAGACCTGCTTGCGTGACATTCTGGCAAGGCCTTGGGGGGATACCTCTATAAGATACTTTACAGTTCTTCTTCTTCTTAAGAACTTAATAGGGGATATATGTACACAAATAATTAGGATACAAAAGAAAGGGAGATCAATTCAAAGGAGATGGCTTTCCAGGTTAAGAGATGGGAGAAATTTGAGGAGGGAAAGATCAGTTTCACTTAGGAGTGGGACAGGGAAGGGTTTGTGGAAAGCTTGATGGGGCAGTTTCAATCCATGTTGGAAGAGAATTCAACAGATAGGGATTGGAGCAGAGGCAGATAATAATAGCTTATTATGTTATCGTTGTTCAGTTGCATTTGACTCTTCGTGACCCCATTTGGGGTTTTCTTGGAAAAGATATTGAGGTGGTTTGTCATTTCCTTCTCCATCTCATTTTACAGATGAGGAAACTGAGGCAAGTCACTTAATCCCAATTGCCTAAAAAAACAAAACAAAACAAAAAAAAGTGGCTTGCCCAGGGTCACACAGTCAGTAGGTGTCTGAGGCCAGATTTGAACTCATGAAGATGAGTCTTCCTGACTTCAGGCCCAGACTCTACCTACTATATCACCTGGCAGCCCCAAAAGCTATTTATATGTGGCATTTATATAGTAGTTTAAGGTTGCAAAATTCCTTACAATTATTATCTCATTTGATCCTCATGACAACCCAGGAAGGTAGATATTATTATCCCTGTTTTACAGATGAGGAAACTGAGGCAACCAGAGGGTAAACGACCTGCTCAGGGTCATATAGCGAGTGTTTGTGATTGGATCAAACTCAAGTCTTCCTGATTTGAAGTTTCAATTCCTATTCACTTTACCAGCTTGCTGCCTGTCTCATTTATCATCTAGCCTAATACTAAGAAAACTTGTTAACAAAGTGAATTCAGGGAAACACATTTTAAAATAGGTATTTAAATATCACCTGGGTGACTTTACTTATTGTCTGATGAGGATAGTGGTAGCAAATGTAAATATATGTACATATATGTATATAATTTATATATGTTAAAGAATTTTAAATATGTATTTAATTTTAAATTATTTTAATTTAATTAAAATATTCAAAATAGTTTTAAATATATGTGCACATATTTTAAAAATTCTTTAAAATTAAAAAAGAGGGGCAGCTAGGTGGTGCAGTGGATAGAGCACTGGCCCTGAAGTCAGGAGTACCTGAGTTCAAATCCGGCCTCAGACCAAACACTTGACACTTACTAGCTGTGTGACCCTGGGCAAGTCACTTAACCCCAACTGCCTAAAAAACAAAACAAAATAAAACAAAATTTAAAAAAGAAATAAAAGTTGATTATAAAGAATATGGCCTCCTCTCAAAACTGCCTGATATATTTGGATTCCCTTTCAAAAGATGTTGTAATCAAGTTTACTTCTCAAACTGGGAAGCAATACTGGAATAAGAAAATAATGCCAATTTGAAGGATAATTCCCAAAGAATTTGTTGAAGAAGTTCCAGGGGGACAAATTAGGGAAGAAAGACAGAAGAAATTCTAGGTGAAGATTAACACGTTAGAGTAGCATCTAACCACATCAGAAAGATGTAGCACTGGGCATTGGCAGACCTTTGAAGGCAACTGTATGACAAAGTACATAAGGAGAAGCTGAATAAGTAGGAGTGTCATTATGCTAAGGTCTCAATGCAGTTGCCACTATTAGAAACTCCATACTTTTATTTTTTAAAAATATATTTATTTTTTCCCCAATTACATGTTGAAACAATTTTTTTTAGGCAATTAGGGTTAAGTGACTTGCCCAGGGTCACACAGCTAGTAAGTGTCGTGTGTTTGGTCTGAGGCCAGATTTGAACTCAGAAAACAATTTTTTTAAACATTTTTCTAAAAAGTTTTGAGTTCTAAATTTTCTCCCTTCCTCCCTCCCTCTCTTCCCACCCTCTCTGAGATGGTAAACAATCAGATATAGGTTATACCGTATTTCTTTTAAAAGGATAAGAAACCCTCAGAAAAGATTCAGGATTCAAGCACTGGATAACAAAACTGAAACTGAAAGGTTATGGGAACTTTGATTATTTAGCCCAGTGTGTATAAGTGTTAAGGAAAATTTAAAGCATTTAAATCTATGATGGATTACAGTCAACTCTTGCTTATTCAAATAAAATTTGTATGTCTATGTATATATACATAAATACATATATATATATACATATGGATGTATGTATATATGTATGTATGTATACACACATATGTAGCGCTTTACAGAACTTACAAGTGCTATGGAAATGATGGCTATCATTATTCTTATTCAGGATGAAGCCTGATCATTCTTTTTGCTATGATGTAAGAGCCACTCCTTCGATAGGTTGGTAGATGAAGGGAAAAGAGTCAAAATTTAAATCACAAAAATTTGCCCTCTCTAGCTCTGATGATAAACTTAGTTGAAGGAGAGGTGGAAAATACCTGCTAAGATGAAAGGTTTTAGATTTTCTGTGAATTTCATTCATCTGTATAAATCTAGTACTACAGCAAAGGACAATTTGAATAGCTGACCTCCTGTTCCCCATCTTCACTGATCTTCATCATTCATTAGTTCAAATAAATATTAATTGACTGCTCACTAAGTACAAGGAACCATGCTAGGCAGCATCAAGGAATAAAGTTTCAAGAAGTCTATCTCTGTAGCTGTCAGTGTCATTAAACATGGGAATGAGTTACCAAGGCAGGCTGGGGTCATCTCTTTCTGCCTTTGACAATGGAGTATATTTTCTTCTCTCTGAGCTGACTAAGTGGTCATCTACCAGAAACTAGATTCATTCCTTTACTGAGCACCTACTATGAGATAAGATACTGGGCTAGGTAGGCATCATCAGTGATACTAAAAAGTTTATGGTCTAGGAGGAAAGTCAAGACATGTACACATATGAACTGTAGCATAAGGCAGAAAATGCCAAGTTCCATAAAGGAAATATGTTTATAATGTTGATGTTTTCTTAAAGGTCACCATTCCTAGGATTAGAACATTCTAAGTGACAGAACAAAAAGTTCATGAAAGAAGCAAAAAGAGACCAGCTCAGTGTATACTTTTTCAATTAGATAAAAAAAAACCTTAGAAAAATACCCTCTTAAAAAATGTAGCCAAAAGATTTTGCTTAAAATAAGTTGGTTAAGAAATAAAAAAACATAACAGTATCCAACATCGACACTGTGTTCAGCTAATTCTAGACAGATGGATAATTATTTCCCTGCTCAAGACACAACTACCAATATCAAGAAAATAATCATTTAAAACAAGGCATTTGTAGATCTGCCTCAATTTACCTTGTTGCCCTGGTGAATTAAAATTATTTTCCAGCTATATAGGTCCCTAAAGCAGTCATGGAAGAATGGAGAGAAAGTCATTCTTGGAGGCAGGAAGACTTGGGTGTAAGTTCTATCTTTGACCCACACTATCTGTATTAGCTATCACTTACCCTCCCAGTAACCCCTGGGTAGCTCTCTAGGACCTAAAGTTAGTGACAAGTTGCAGATCTGCATTGATGGAGGGCTTTTCTGCTTAGGAAGTTACTCACACCAAGGAACTCACAGGTATGTGGAAAACAAGAATTAAAATGGTCCCCTAAGTAATTTGAAAAAATAGCTCCCTTCAGTGTCCATATACTGGATAATTGCCTTCATAATTGCCTAGAGCTCATATGTATCTTCTTATCCACCTCAGCAGTATTGCAGAGCCTAAGCTGCAAGTTCCTGCCTTCGTACATGGCTCTTTGCCCTTATCTGCTGAGCCAAAGTGGGAGAATAAACTACCGCAGTAGAAGTATCAAAAAAGATAATGCCCTGCAAGGAAAAAAAATGACTGGCACTTTCAACATAAGCCAACAAGAGCCCACAGGATCTTTGGAATCTTTTAGAACTTACTGCTATCCGAAGGACAGAGGCTTTCACAGAAGTCCATTTGTCTTGTCTCCGGTCTATAACAAGGATAAACCCAATTCCAGTGTCCTGTAAACTAAAACAAGAAGACAGGACACATTATTATTATCATCACAGTTAGGCAGGAAGACAAACCTTTTTCAATACATCTCTAAGAAAGCTTCACAGTAAAATGACACCTCTTATATAATAAACCTTTTACCATTCTGCATTGCAATGTATAACTCCATGAAAAATATGCCCATGAAAAGACTGCAGCATTTCCAGAGGGTTCCCATGCAGCCTCATTGAGTCAGTTCAGGAACAGTCCTTATCCACAGACAAACAGATTTTTGTACAGCTCAAATATCCATTTCCTTTTTTAGCTCAGTATCAACTACCTTGCATTTTGAGGATCTTGGTAAAACCTATTATTCATGAAGCTAAACACATTGGTGCTCCACAGTGGAGAAAAACATGGCAATCTCTTTCTCTGTCCACTGGCTGTTTAACCCCTTCAAAGCAAGTTTTATGATCTCAATATCACATTAGTCCTAGACTCTGAGGTTTTCTTGCTCTTCCACGTTAGAAATTTGCTCTCAGTGGGGCTATTACAATCACTTTGGGAAAAAATCCCCAAGGCTTTGGAAGGCTCACGAGCATCTGTCTGAAAGAAGATAGAGAATATGCATCTTTGAAACAGCCACATCTGTGAGAGGGATCACACACTTTAATTCTTGTATAATGATGCCCTCTGCTCTTCCGCTCAGCTTAACTGCACAAGCTACAGTCACCGAGTACAAATGAAAAGATCTGCCTCTGTTGGGTGATTCCACATCCAAGCCAATTGGGTAATGCCAGCAGCTGACTGGCAGCCAATCCCAACCAGAAGGGAACGTGACAGGCAAGCTCAGAATGGACTGCCTTGAATTGCTAATTTCTGAAACTGGAGGAGTACATTTAAGTGAGAGCCATTGCTGGATTTAAGTAAGAAAAGAATTGTGGGGGAAGGGCACACACAAATTAAGCTGCTTGTGTCTGAGCTGTGTATGTATAGTAAACACTAGCACACAAATGCACATAGAGGATTTCTGAGAAAGTTTGCAGTTCTAAAAATTTAATGACAATCATAATACAAAAAATGTACATGTCATAGGCTCACTGCATCCATCTATTTATAACTTGATGATTGTTCCCAAATGTTTGTAGCAATTTAGCTAAACAGTCACAAAATATTTCGTTTCATACAAAAAATACCAGTTTTGGCCCACCATCATCTTGCTACAGTAGTTATTAAACTGTAAACTTAAACATACATGCTCTGCCAAAATTGAATATTTTTGTCACCTGCTATTTCATATTTTTTGTGGTTGGCTATAACAACAGGTTTGATTTATGGTCAGTTATTAGGACAGTATATTGAGAAAAAAAACTTCCTTTTTTTCTTTTTAAATAGTAAAATGATCATTCCCTGGATTTATAAACCAGCTTTTCTCAAAAGAAATCAGAGTTTTGGGGAGTGTTATCTTCTTTATGCCATGTATATAGTGGGACAAGAAAAAAAATGCGATTTTGCATTAAGAAAAGCCTAAACTCCAAGATATTTTCTCATCTTAGTGAATCAAGAAATAGACAGGAACTCCTAATCAAGGGATTCAGTCTAGTATTCATTTTATTAACTACGTTTTTGTTTTTCTTGTTAGGTTGTAATACGCCACACATAAAAATCTCCAAAAGAATAGGTTTAAAAATTTTTAAAAATTAACAGACATTTATTTTCTCTCCTTCCCACTCTCCTGTCCCTACAATAGGGAAAACAACCACTATCACTACCACCACAACAAAAACTTTTTAAACAAATATATGTCTAGCAAAACAAATTCCAACATGGTCCATATCAAAAAAAAATATATGTCTCATTCTGCACCCTGAATCTACTGCATACATCAGGAGATAGGTAGTATGTTTTACTCATAGTTGGTCTTGGTATTGATCAGAGGTCTTATGAGACAGTTTTCAAAGCTGTCTTTACAATATGATTATTGTATAAATTGTTTTCCTGACAACTTACAACAACATTCTCCTCTCAATCCCTTACCATGGAGCCTGTGATTGCATAGTGACTCAATTTAGGGAGTTCCTAGTGAGGAAACTTCTTTTGCCAAGGTAGTTGTAAAGGTTTTTACAAAACTTACAAAGAAGACTTACAAAAGTCTTACAGAGTTGCTTGAGTCACTGAGCATTTATGTTACTCGATAGTCGCAGAGCAGAGCAGAGCCTCAACCACATCTTTTTGACTTATCCATCAGCCAACTTTCTTTTTTGGGGGACAGGGGAGACAACCAGGGTTAAGTGATTTGCCCAGGGTCACACAGCTAGTGAGTGTCTGAGGCTGATTTTTTGCTTCAGTTCTTATCTAGCTTTCAATTACTGAATGGATGTTGCCTCAGACAAACTGAGACCTGGGAAAGACCTTAGCTTAAAAAGGCCAAGGTCTCTTATTGCATCTGGGGCCATCACCAGTTGTCTTGAACTACGTCTTGCCACTGGATTTCGATGACTCCAGAACAGAGGTTGGGGCTGATGACTTTTCACAGCCTTGCCTCACTTAAATCCAAACCACTTTTAAATCAAGACGTCACCCTCCTGATGTCATTGGTCTTCTTTGAGAATGAAAGACAAACAACAGTCTGAGGCTGGATTTGAACTCAGGTCCTCCTGACTCCAGGGCTCCTGCTCTTTCCACTCTGCCACCTAGGTACCCCCAACTTTCTATCTACTATGTCACACTGCCTCTGTAACCTATAGTAACTCAAAATTCACCTCCTCCCCTTGAAATAAATCCTCCTCCAATGCCTCATCATAGCATGGAGAAAACTCCAGGCTCTCAAGGGTCTCACCAAAGAGAACACAGGCTGGCAAAACTTAAGAGTATGAAACAATGATGAGGCAGCACAAAACAATGGGAAGAATGCTGGAGGTGGAGCTGGAAGAGCTGGTCCAAATATTGACTCTTGCGCTTCCTGTCTGTGTGACTTAATGATGTAGGCAAGTCATTTAATCTTCCTGGACCTCAGACGCCTTATTTGTAAAATGAGAAGGTTAGACTCTTTGAGGTCCCTTTTAGCTTCCAAGACTGTGTAATTCTGGATATCTGTCATTCATTTATTAGACTAATTAAGTCAGAATATGCTCAGCTCATCACCAGAAAGTTGCTACCTTATTATATGTATTTGTGTACATATGTGCGCATATATACAGGGGTATGTGTATGTATGTGTATGCACATATACATATGTGGGCATACATACATGTGTATATGAGTATGTGGATGTATGCATGTGTGTACATGGCACATATATATGTGCAGGTATATCACACAGATGCATACATATATGTATGTGTGCATTTGTGTATAGATTTATGTGTGTGGATGTGTAGGTATGTATATATGTATTTATGGGTATGTATGTGTATATGTGTATGCATGTGTATGTGTGTGCATTTATATATGTATATAGATTTATATGTGTACATATGCGTGTATATGTATATGTGTGGATATGGATATAGCAGCAACTCATTAATGACAGCTTGAGGAATGGAAAAGTTGGGACCTGTGTCACTGGAGAATTTGCTGATGAAGTAAAGCTCTTTGAGGGACCAAAGTTAAGATATTACTTATCAAAACTCTGGACATTCAAACAGAATATTTTGGGGATAGCTTTGAATTTTTTGTTGAGATTTGCACACCTATGGTTACCTCCTCATTTTAATTTAGCACCTGGTTGGTGCCTGTAAATAGGTGCTAAATAAAGGTTTGCTGATACTATGATGATGGACTGACACTTTAGGGTTTGGGGGTATGAGGTCAGTTTTTAAAAAAAGGTTGATGATTTCCTGTGTAATTTGTGTGGTGGTCAACCAAGAAAACCGTAAAGTCTTGAAGTAGAATTGTACTGCTGGCTTATCTAGGTGGTTCTCAAGTATGGTTACTTAAATCTCAGAGCATTTAGTACATGATACAGACAATGACATTTTTCCTGGAAACCCTGCCCCCTTTAGTATAAGGAGTCCTATAAAAGTCTTAGTGCAGCTCTTATCTTTAACAGCTCAAAGCTAAGTGTTTTTAATAGCATTGTTGTTGTTCATTCTTTTCAGTCATTTCTGACTCTTTGTGATCCCATTTGGGGTTTTCCTAGCTAAGATACTGGAGTGGTTTGCCATTTCCTTCTCCAGTTCATTTTACAGGTGAGGAAACTGAGGCAAAGAGGGTTAAGTGACTTGTCCAGGGCCATATAGCTAGTAAGTATCTGAGGCCAGATTTGAACTCAGGAAGATAAGTCTTCTTTTCTCCAGGCCCAGCACTCTATCCATTGTACCAGCTAGAGCTGCCCTTTAATAGCTAAAAGCTGTACTAATACTTTCAGGATCACCCACTATAAGGCAGATAAGTGGCACAGTGGATAGAGAGCTGAACTTGGAATCAGGAAGGTTGGAGTTCCAATCTTGCTTCAGAAAATTATTAGCTCTGTGACCTGGGCAATTCATTTAACCACTCTCAAATTCAGTTTCCTCATCTGTAAAATGAACATAATAATATCACCTACCTCCAGGGTTGTTGTGAGGATCTAATGTGATCTAAAACACTTAGCACAGTTCCATGATACATAGCAAGGGCTATACAAATGTCAGCTATTATAAGATAACATATGCAAAGCTTTTTACAGAACTTAAAGTGCTATAGAAATGCTAGCTATTATTATCCTAAAGCAATGCTATTAATTTTAACCTATCCACTAAGATTGAAATATCAGTTCAAGAAAGATTTAAAGAAAGATAACTACCCTAAGGACATAGTAAGTCCTTTGTCCACTAAATTTCAACCATTTTCCATCAACTTAACCCTGAATTTTTATTACTGGATTATTTTCTTACAACATGAAACATTGCAGGGCATATATTGTTTTTGTTCAGGTTTGACATAAAACCCCTAAGTGATGCTTTAGCCCAGGGGTGGGGACCCTGTGGCCTTGAGGTCATATGTGGCCCTCTAGGTCCTCAAGTGTGGCCCTTTGACTGAATGCAGACTTCACA